GACCATAGTTGAAGTAGAAGGTTGCATCCCTCGAAGAACATTCTACCATCAACACATGCTGACAGACTCCTCATTGTCTCCGCCAGGATCATGGGCACTATAGTTTTTCTAGGCTCACCCCCTCTTTGAGCTAGGTCTCGACCACGTACCTTAGACATGTATCGATTCTTCCCGTTGATTTAGGAAAAACCAAAGATCCCAATAAGGCGATGGCAAAGGCATCCAGATGATACTTTTCCTATTTTTCAACGGAGCACTCAAATTCATAGTCATAAAAGTAGTAGCCATCATCTCGACTGAATCGTGAGAATAAGAAGTCTAAATGCGTCCACCCAAGGTCTAGTGAATTCCAGGTTGGATTAGACTTCATCCCCATACTTTTTAGAAATTCCCTTGATGTACCTTATAAGGTACCATCATTTGACACTCGTGGTATGGAAGATCGATGAAACCACTAATTTCTTTAATTGTTGGTGTCAAGTTGCAATCTGTAAACTTGAACACCATCCTCACAGGGTCCCAGAACTCTAGTAGCGCCCTAGTCAGGTGAGGGTTTGGTATGACAAAAATAAAAAATGTGAGGCCACCCAACAATTGATGAATCTCCCTTTCCTTATATCTCCTTATATCCATCCACCAGGTCTTAAGTCTCTGACTCACTTCTGTCACCATTTGAGGGTTTGGAGGTTCATACTCATCCATGACTCTGTAAATAAAACAATAAACAACTTCTAAACTCCATTTTGGTAAAATTGGCTTGATTTAATTATTATGATCACGTTGACACGTAAGTATGCAATTTGTCTAAAGGGTGTTGGGGCCCTTTAGACGAGAGGATGGCTACTAATTATATGAATTGACACCAAGGGTCAAACCACCTAGGGCTTATGCAGCATGTATGACCTAACCAGGACTTCTAAGAGTTGGCTTGACACAAATTTGAAAGGGATTCTATGCGAGAGGCTCGTGATTTCGCGATAGTAAGACTATCCGTTACGTCCACGCATATGTTGACTCTCTATAATGGGTATTTGAATCGAATTGGAGTATTTGTGAAGGTGCAAAGGAACAACATCACGAGAATAAAAAAAAAGAGGGTCCTAATTGGGGGAAGTATCAGCGGAATGCAAGCTATCAAAGCAATAAAAACTTAGCATTTAAATTAGAAGGCGGTAACATATAGGCAGTTTATAAAACAGTGAATAAATAAATAAGCATAAATAAATAAAGGAATTTAAACATATAAAGGTGCTAAAAAAATCACACAAATAAGGAAAGAGAGTATGAGATGAAATGTATAATTAACAAATAAGGGAAACAAGAGAATGTGAAATATGGTAATAAACAAATAAGGAAGGAGGAAAGGGGTGGAACATGGAAAGAACACAGTAAATAAGACAACAAAATGATAACCAAACATGATAAACATCTAGAAAATAATGAAATAACCAAAATAAAGTAAACCCACATAAATAAACATGAAACAGGTAATGGTAAGAACCTAATATCCCCAGCGGAGTCGTCATCCTGTTGCGCCCCATTTTTTTTGCAAAAAACGAGTTTTGTGCACGACCTAACAACCCTTTTAGGATTTTGAATTTGGATTCCCCACCTAACGAATTAAGGCGCGTTATGGCACCTATCTAACCTAACCAAGTCTAGTTAAGGTCAATGAGCCAGAGATCGGGGTAAGGGTTCAAATTACCTCAAGGGGAAGGTGTTAGGCATCCCTTGAGTCAACAAATGTGGGTCCCGACCGTATCTCATGCAATCTAGGTGGGGGTTACACGTAGAAAATAGGTCACTTCATTTATTAATTTATTTAAGTTTGCTAAGTGATAACAAATATAAAACAATTAAGACTATTTTATTACTTTTTTATTAATTTAGATATGCAAGGTTAGGTGATAGTAATAAACAATGAAATTTACTTTTTTATTTATTTTAACATACGAGACTATGTTAAAAACAAATCGAACAAATAGCTTATGTTATTATTTTAATCAATATTAAGCATGCCAAAAGGTGATAGAAATAATAAACACAACAAATACTAATCAATTAGATAAAGATAAGCGAGGAGATAAAAATAGACAAATAGATTAGCCAATAATTTTTTTTAAGCTACCCCAAATAAATTATTAAAAAATTAAGATTACTTCAATTATTTGTTATTTGAGCATATGATCCATGTGATAAACAAATATTGAAAATGTTAAGCAATTAATAAAACGATAAACAAGGAGACATAATATGCACAAAAGATATAGAAGACAGCTCGATTTAATTTATTATGCAGCACCAAACAAGAAAGACGTGCGAGAATAAAGTTTGAAAAAATGAGCAAATTTTGAATAGAAATTTTATTAAAAAAATATTTGTTTCTTTTATAGGGGTGATGCCACGATATTGTTAGTCGCGCTCCTCCACCATAGAAACAATTTTAATTTGAGGTCGGTCTTAGAAAAATAACAATAGTTTATATTTTTGAAAATGATTTAAAAGATTCAGTTTGCATATAGGCACATGAATATTTACATATAAATACACATAATTCCTTTAAAAATCATGGGTAGGTTGTACTTCCGGGGACGCGTCGGTTTAACTTAAAAATTGGAACTAGACGTCGTAATTCCTTTGACTTTCCCACTAACGATAGGTTAGGAGATAGTGCTTATAATTTATTTTTGAAAGTAAACAATGTCATAATCAATCCAAAATTTTAAAGGAGGATTAAACAATGACTTTTAAAAAAGGAAAAATACCCAAGTACCCCCTCAACTTATGCCCGAAATCCCAGAGACACACTTATACTATACTAAGGTCCTATTACCCCCCCTGAACTTATTTTATATGTAATTTTCTACCCCTTTTTAGCCTACGTGGCACTAGTTCAAAAAAAAATCAATCATCGTTGGACCCACAAGATAGTGCCACGTAAGCTAAAAAGGGGTAAAAAATTATTAATAAAATAAGTTCAGGAGGGTAATAGGACCTTAGTATAGTATAAGTCTGTCTCTGAGATTTCGGGCATAGGTTGAGGGGGTACTTGGGTATTATCCCTATAAGAAAAAGTTGCAAAACTTTGTAAAAAGAAAAACTAGTAGAACACTAATATAGTAAAGTTATTGAATGCAAAGCTTTTATATATATATATAAAAAAAGCCAAGTAATTTGTTAAATGCAACAAATGATTTTTTTTTATTTTATGGTTAGATCTAAAATTACTTTATCACATAAAAAAATTGTCAAATAAATTACGAACCTATAGGCATGTTTGTAATACAAATAAGTTTGCAAATAAAAAAAAAGATTAACATATAACTTCCCCTCTCCTTAAGCGATCCCCAAATATAATTCAAATGCGAGAGCTTTAGAGTTATACAAATATTACAAAAATTCGAATAAATAAATAAAAATATATAGATTCAAATATATGAATTAAACGGATTAATCTCTTCATAGCTAATCTTTAACTTGAACTTCAAGTTCGAAACCTACCAAAACAATCAAATAGCTACACAAGTAATCACATTTATTTAGACAAGATGAGACACATATGCAATTATTTAATGACGAATTATACATATAGAAAAGAACAGAACAATAGCTTACAACAATATGTGAATGCAAAGATAATGTAAATGCTAAGAATACTAACCAGTTAAGCAAAAGAAATGGTAGCAATGAAAAAAAGTTGATCCAACTTTTACTCTAACAAAAGCAAAGTAGCAAAATAGCGAAGAAGAGCACTTGAATGTTTACCGGAATCTTAATTTATTTTAAGAGTAGCAAGAGAGAAATGAGAGAGTGAAGAGTGATGAGAAGACATGTGATTGAGAGAACTTGTAATTGAGAGTGAAAGTGTTAGGATATACTATTAACCATGTGTTTTGATATAGTATTAATATTGAACCATTGTTTATTTATTTATTCAATTCAATAAAGTGTTACATTAGTCATATATGTGTCCTTAACTTATATAGTAGATGATTTCGTGTATAGAGTTTAAGCTTATACACAGAAGATTAAATCATCAGTTCTTATAAGTTAAAATTTATAGTTCACAATTATAGATGGAAATTTGGACAAAATCATCAAAAAGATTGTAGCACGAGATTAAATGTAATTTACCTTGATTATGAGAATGACATAGTTCTAACTTCTCGTGCTAGTGCATTTGGTATGTATTGAACGGGACCAAGCAGAGATAGTTGTTTTAGACTGACTGGTAAAAACAAATTCTCTAAACTATTAAATATACTTATATTCTTAATCATGATATAACGATTAAGATCTGTATATATTATTTATCATTTTGATTTAAGATTAGATGATAATAATATATATTGGTGAAATAATTAGTTAGTTGATGGAATCCATGTCTCAGTATAGATATTGATGATACACCTTTTATGAGAAGCTTGTAAGTTTTCATGTGTAAACCTGGCCGGTTGATTTATGAATCTGGCACATGAAATAAGTTAAGTATTGCTCTAAAAGAAGTTAATCATTGAATTAAATTCGTCAGTAATTTAATTTATTGATTAGTATCGATATTTTTAACATGGGGAATTAAATAAGTGTTTAGTGGTGAATTTCAAAATAAATAGAGGAGTTCAATTACGAATTTTTAGTGGAATGATTTGTAATTTATTATGGTAAGAATAATTCAAATTAATTATTTAAAATTATTTCCATAATAGGAAGCCTCAATAACAAATTTTGTGGTCCCTCCATTGCCCAATTTAACTAGAACTCAGAATCCTATTTTCTAGTAGAAGATGGAAAAGTAGCGTGTCTTTTTTTTGGAAGGGAGAAATGTGTGTTTTCAAGTTTTCTTGAAAAAAAGGATTTGCTTTCTTCTCCTCTTTGGACTAGGAAGACATCTCTATAAATAGGGATTCTTCTAACCTAGATTGAATTGAGTATTCTATACAATACTTGCCCACCCAAGTATTGAGAGAGTTCAATTGTTGATTGGGATCACTGTAGAAGACTGTAGAGTTGGAATTACTTCAAGATATCTGCACACGCTTCAAGAGGTAATCCTGAGTTAATTTTGAGCATACTTTGTATATGATGACTATTTGTGATTGTTGTTTATATTCATGCAAGATGTATGATTCTGGAATGTTTCCGTTGTGTATGCTATTTTCTATCAATTGATATCAGGAGCCATACTTGCATCTTTACATAGAATCTAAAATATGTATATGTGTATAGTTGCAAGTGACTGTATGATTTTTGGTTAGAAATTTTTGTTTATCACGAAAATAATAAAACGGATAAAAACTTGAATTGATTTGTTTTGTTGAATGCATACGGTAATAATGACCTATGAAAATTAATCACTAAGATTGGATGGTATTTTCATGAGATATTGCACATTGTTGCTTTTGTATGATGAATAATTAATTTTAAGAAGAAATTTAATGGTTGGTCATGTCGTTTCTTTTTTCTTTTCTTGAGTTGGCATTTTTGGGAGATTGATCACAAATTTTCTCATAACGTGTCGGCTGAAAATTTATTTTCTCATTATGGTGGCTACTTGTTGTTTTTCAAATATATGTTGGGTGTATTTTTCTTATAATTTCACATGCATATATGTTGGTTGATTTCTCATATTAAAAGAAACAAAATTTTCACTTATCTTTGTATTGGAAATTGATATGAGTAATAAAAAAAAACTGGTAGCTATCTACTTGTATTAGTGGAACCCAAATTAAATAGTTGGAGTCCTAGTACTTAATATAAGTAATTGTTTATAGTTATGCATTCACGTAATTTGTGGCAACAATGTCTTCATTAGTTTTGCAACAGTCTCTTCATTATGTATGTTATTTCTCATAAATTTAACTTTTAATGTATGAGATTTTATATTGAATGAACTGAAATTCTTTTTTGTTGCAAAAATCTTTCTTTCTGGAATTTTTTGTTTTATGTGGAAAATATATCAGTTATTAAGTTCTTTTTTATTGACAAGAGGCAGTAAGCACTTTTGATGATTTAAAAAAAATTCTTTTTGGGTTTATATATGAACAAATTATTTGTGAATCATTGAAAATGTTTTGCAAAGTTAATGTGTAATATTTTTTGGAGTAATATGTTTGAAAATATGAGTACGAGACCATATGCTTTATGAACTTAATTTTTGTTGCAAATTTTTCTTTCTGAAAATTTTTGTATAAAATTTAAGAGAAAATAAAAATGGTGATAAAATGTTCTTTTCAATATTCACTATGATTAAATAGTAGTGAAGTATTAAGTTTATGTGTTGGCTTAGACCTTCCTCCCCATCGGATGAATTTAATACAAGTCACAACGTATTTAATCGCTAGTTTGATAATTTGTATTGACTCTCCTAAACTGAGTAATATATCATTATATCAATGTAACTAGAAGGTTTTCACTTGACTTAAACTAACAGTAGACTCTCCAACTGAGTTAGGTATGTATAAGTTTATGGAGTGAATAATCGGTCATTATATATGTATATTGTATGAATAGTTCTCCAATCCCAACGATTTGCTATTTAAGATGCATGAATGTATATGCATATCATGAGTTTGAATGTAAATATTCAATGTTATATGACTATGTTATTGATCTATTGTAACTATTTCTTCAATCTCAGATTCAACATGTCTCCTTTTAATCCCATTAGTACTATTTTGGGTCAAAACAAACTAGAGGGTTCTAACTATGTTGACTGGAGGAGAAATCTTGACATTGTGTTAACTGCTGAAGAATATAAGTTTGTGCTTCATGAGGAATGTCCATTGAAACCAAATGATCAGTCTAGTGATGAGGATAAGTTAGCTTATCAGAAATGGCGCAAAGCTGATGAGATGGCGCAATGTTACATTATGGCTTCAATGTCAAATGTTTTGCAACATCAACATCAAGCTATGTTGTCTGCTTTTGAAATTTTGAAGAATCTCAAACAAATGTTTGGAGACCAGGGTCGATCAGCTAAGCAGACTGCCGTGAGAACTCTCAGGAACACTAAGATGGTTGAAGGCACCCCTGTAAGAGACCATGTTCTGAAGATAGGTCTTTTAAATGAACTAGAGGTTTTGGGGGCTGAAGTTGACAATGACTCCCAAGTTGAGATGATATTGCAGTCTCTGCCTGATAGTTTTCAATAATTTTGCCTAAATTATAATATGAATAAGATGAGTCTATCTTTGGCACAATTGTTGAATGAGCTACAGGCGGCAGAGACCCTTGTCAAAAAACATGCACCATCAATGGCACTTGATGTTGAGAAAGTTTCTACTTCTAAACCGCCAGGTGGACAGAAGAAGAAAAAGGCTCACAAAGCTAAGGCAACTGCACCTCCAACTGGGGGAGGGAAAAAGTCTAAGGGTAAGTGTTTTCATTGCAAGATGTCAGGTCATTGGAAGGCACATTGTCCAGATTTCTTAGCCAAGAAGAAAAACAAATCAGGTAACTCATTTTCACTTGTCGTTGAAACATTTTTAGCGGCTGTTTCTACCACTTCATGGTGTGTAGATTCAGGAGCCACTGATCATATCTGCACTACTATGCAGGGGTTTCAAGAAACGGACAAGCTGATTAGAGGTGAAGTTAGCATTTTTCAAGCAATGGCTCTGCAGCTCCAGTTTTAGCATTAGGAAATATTACTTTTTCTTTTGATAGTAGTAGAGTTTTAATTTTAAAAGACGTTCTATATGCACCTGCTGTTAGAAGAAATTTGATTTCAGTTTCTTAAGTTTTGAGAGATGGTTATGATGTTATTTTTTTTGATAACGGTTGTGTTATTAGTTATAATAAACATCTTGTCTCTGCTGGTACATTGATTGATGGTCTTTTTATTATTAATGTCTCTCCAGAACTGCAACAAATCGTAGAATTGAATAATGTTAACATTTCAAATAAAAGAAAACGTTCTTCTGATTTTAATGAGACTTATCTATGGCACTTGCGTCTATGTCATATAAATTTAGATAGGATTTCAAGGTTGGTTCGAGATGTACCTTTAGGTTCATTAAAAGTGGAGGCACTACCAACATGTGAATCTTGTTTAGAAGGAAAAATGACTAAGAGACTTTTTCCCTCAAAAGGAAATAGAGTCAATGATAAACTAGAGTTAATTCATTCTGATTTGTGTGGCCCAATGAACATTCAAGCAAGAGGTGGGTATGAGTACTTCGTGACCTTCATTGATGACTACTCAAAATATGGATATATATATTTATTGCATCGTACGTCTGAATGCTTTGATAAATTCAAAGAGTTTAAGGCTGAAACAAAGAAACGACATGGAATATATATCAAGTCATTGCGATTTGATCGTGGTGGCGAATACCTCTCTAATGATTTTATTAGTTACTTATCAGAACAAGGAATTACATCTCAAATGTCTGCATCTAGAACGCCACAACAAAATGGTGTAGCAGAAAGAAGATATAGAACTCTTTTAGAAATGGTTAGATCAATGATGAGTTACTCTAATTTGTCGTATTCGTATTGGGGATATGCCATAGAAACTGCAAATTACATTCTGAACTTAGTTCCTTCTAAATCTGTTCCTTTGACATCTATTGAACTGTGGACTGGGCACAAACCTAGTTTGAGACATATTCGGGTTCGGGGATGTCTAGCACATGTATTAAAAGGGAAGGCAGAAAAATTGGAACCTAAAACAGAAGTATGTGTTTTTATTGGATACCCTAAAGGAACGAAAGGTGGTCTGTTTTATAATCCTAAAGAAAAGAAGGTCATTGTGACTACAAATGCCAAGTTTCTGGAAACGGATTTTTTAACAAATCAAATTCCTAGAAGTAAACTAGTTTTACAAGAATTGAGCAAAGAGAAAACAAATCAATCTACTGAAAATAATGAAAATTAAATTCAGACCCCACATGTTAGAGTTAACATACCATTGCATTATAATAGTGGGAGAGATGTTAACAAACATAAAATTTTGCAATTACAAGATCTTGAAAATTCATTGCATCAAGGTAGTGGGAGTAATAGTGAGCAGATTGTATTAGACGAAGAAGTTGTTGATATCTCTGCACCGCAAGATACTGAAGATAACAAGGAAACTCAAGATCCTATAAATGATGTGGTTACACCATAAGATCATAATAATGCAAATCTCTCTGAACCTGCCCCTGCAATTGTAGTGTCTCGTCGTAGTGGGAGAGTGATAAGAAAACCACTTCGGTATGCACTCCTGGGAGAGTCTTTTAACAGAATCCCTGAAGAGTCGAATACCGAACCTGTGAATTACGACGAAGCACAACAAGATAAAGATGCAGAAAAATGGATTGTTGCTATGAAATCAGAAATGGAGTATATATACTCTAACAAAGTCTGGGATCTTGTAGAACTACCTGTAGATGGAGTCAAACCCATTTGATGCAAGTGGATATAGAAGAAAAAGAGAGGAGTAGATGGACAAGTGCAAACTTACAAAGCTAGACTTGTTGCAAAAGGGTTTACTCAAAAAGAAGGGATCGACTATGATGAAACTTTTTCGCCAGTAGTCATGCTTAAGTCTATTAGAATTCTCTTATCCATTGCTTCTCATTATGATTATGAAATTTGGCAAATGGATGTCAAGACAACTTTCCTTAATGGAAGTCTTGATGAAAGCATATTTATGCGACAACCAGATGGTTTCATAGAAAAAGGAAAAGAACACAAGTTGTGCAAGCTTAAAAGATCTATTTATGGATTAAAGCAAGCTTCTAGGCATGGAACACTTGCTTCGACAATGCAGTCAAGTCTTTTATTTTGAGCAATGTCTTGATGAGTCTTGTGTGTACAAAAAGTGGAATGGGGATAAAGTGGTGTTTTTGGTATTATATGTAGATGATATCTTGCTCATAGGAAATAATGTGGGCTTGATTAATTCAGTTAAGAAATGGTTGTCCACAAACTTTGATATGAAGGATTTGGGAGAAGCTGCTCACATCCTTGGGATCAAGGTTCTACGTGATCGCAAGAAAAGGATGTTAGGTTTATCTCAAGCTCTTTATATTGATACAATTGTTACCATGTTTAGCATGCACGATTCCAAGAAAGGGTTTCTTCCTTTTAGACATGGAATTTCTTTATCTAAGGATCAATGTCCTAAGACAGATGAGGAAACAGAAAGCATGAAGACAGTTCCTTATGCATCAGCGGTAGGAAGTCTCATATATGCCATGTTATGCACTAGACCTGACATTTGTTTTACCGTAGGCATGGTTAGCAGATATCAGTCTAATCCTGGATGAGAACATTGGACAGCAGTTAAGCATATAATCAAGTACCTGAAAAGGACTAGGGATTACATGCTAGTCTATCATTCGAATAAGTTGGTCCCCATAGGGTACACAGACTCAGATTTCCAGTCTGATATAGACTCTAGAAAGTCGACCTCAGGAAATGTGTTTACTTTGGGAGGTGGAGCCATTGTTTGGATAAGCATCAAGCAAACCTGTGTTGCTGATTCTACCATGGAAGCCGAATATGTAGCAGCTTCTGAAGCAGCTAAGGAGGCAGTGTGGCTCAAAAACTTTCTGAAAGACTTGGCGGTTGTTCCTGCAATAGAAATGTCACTTACAATGTTTTGTGATAATAGTGGAGCGGTTGCAATTCAAAAGAACCACGAAGTCATAAGAAGGCAAAACACATTGAGCGAAAATACCATTTGATTCGAGACATAGTACAGAGAGGGCATGTGATGGTGGCGAAGATTGCATCAGAGAACAACCTTGCAGACCCTTTCACAAAAGCTTTACCGCAAAAGACTTTTGATAGACATGTTGAAGGAATGGGTGTTAGAGTTGTAGGTGCATGATTATGAGTCTAAGTGGGAGATTGTTAGGATATACTATTAACCATGCGTTTTGTTATTAGTATTAATATTGAACAATTGTTTATTTATTTATTCAATTCAATAAAGTGTTACATTAAATAGATCAATTGTCATATATGTGTCCTTAACTTATATAGTAGATGATTTGGTGTATAGAGTTTAAGCTTATACACAGAAGATTAAATCATCAGTTCTTATAAGTTAAAATTTATAGTTCACAATCATAGATGGAAATTTGGACAAAATCCATCAAAAAGATTGTAGCACGAGATAAAATGTAATTTATCTTGATTATGAGAATGACATAGTTCTAACTTCTCGTGCTAGTGCATTTGATATTTATTAAATGGGACCAAGTAGAGATAGTTGTTTTAGACTGACTGATAAAAACAAATTCTCTAAACTATTAAATGTACTTATATTCTTAATCTTGATATAACAATTAAGATCTGTATATATTATTTATCATTTTGATTTATTAAAAGTTGAGATTCTGAGATGGGTCAATATGCCTGCTAGATTAGATGATAATAATATATATTGGTGAAATAATTAGTTAGTTGATGGAATCCATGTCTCAGTATAGAGATTGATGATACACCTTTTATGAGAAGCTTGTAAATTTTCATGTGTAAACCCGGTCGGTAGATTAATGAATCTGGCACATGAAATAAGTTAAGTATTGCTCTAAAAGAAGTTAATCATTGAATTAAATTTGTCAGTAATTTAATTTATTGATTAGTATCGGTAATCTTAACATGGGGAATTAAATAAGTGTTTAGTGGTGAATTTCGAAATAAATAGAGGAGTTCAATTACGAATTTTTAGTGGAATGATTTGTAATTTATTATGGTAAGAATAATTCAAATTAATTATTTAGAATTATTTCCATAATAGGAAGCCTCAGTAATAAATTTTGTGGTCCCTCCAGTGCTCAATTGAACTAGAACTCAGAATCCTATTTTCTAGTAGAAGATGGAAATGTAGCGTATCTTTTTTTTGAAGGGAGAAACGTGTGTTTTCAAGTTTTCTTGAAAAAATGGATTTGCTTTCTTCTCCTCTTTGGACTAGGAAGACATCTCTATAAATAAGGATTCTTCTAACCTAGATTGAATTGAGTATTCTATACAATACTTGCCCACCCAAATATTGAGAGAGTTCAATTGTTGATTGGGATTACTGTAGAAGACTGTAGAGCTGGAGTTGGATTTACTTCAAGATATCTTCACACGCTTCAAGAGGTAATCCTGAGTTAATTTTGAGCATACTTTGTATGTGATGACTATTTGTGATTGTTGTTTATATTCATGC